AATATGCCTTGTCCCGTACGCTATACCCTGTAATGTGGCAAGGTACAAAAGAGCCAGCTGTCTTTCGCTTGCATCAAGAGTTAAGCCACTTATCACCCCTTTCGATATTGGGTCTGCAATCGGGGATCTATACTAAAAGAGAAATTAGAAAGTACAATAAAAAAAAAACTTTCAATCTTTAAAAAAAAAAAATGCCGGCAAGACTTGAGCATTCACCTGTTCCCATGAAAATCGGGAAGGACATGAATGTCAGCAGTCAAAGAAGCAACAAATGGACTTTCAGATTCTTTCTTCATTGATTCCAATATCTCATTCAGAAGCTCGAATATTGACACGCCTTACAAATTCAAGATTCATAAGCAAAAATCAACATAAGGTAAAAAAATATATATATGAAGTTTCAGCAAAATCTTACATCGAGAAGCAGCTTTATTTGCCAGGTGTGGAGAAGCAATATGATTATCTATTATGTAATCGAGTAATGCACCAGTCGCACTCTGGCCTCCTTCTGTCAGCCAATACTGAGGTACCATAGCTGATTAAAAAACCAAAAAAAAAAAAAAAAAAAAAAATCAGTCGAGAGAGAGAAAGATAGGATTCTATAAGGAAAAACAATGCAAAACTATTATAAAATACAGATCCTTTTGATCCAACATTGACAAACTGAGTTCAAGGAGAGTTAATAACTAAACACATCATGTGGAATTGAGGGCACAAGAATTTTCCTTTATATAACATGACAGCACTACATTTCAAAATGTAAGTCATATATATATATATAGACTTAACAAATTTCAAATAAAAAGAAATCCACTAAAAGCACAACAAAATTATGTGTCGTCGTAATATACCTGACCAGAATGGTCCCCATACGCCTGGAATGAACAATTTGGTCTTGGAAATAGCCATGTGACAAGTGGAAGTTCCACATACTAACACCATTCGATGACATATTTCTTCCCCATCATTTTCTGCACGCTAAAAAACAACTCAGAATTTCTCTAACGAAAAATGTTGCGACTGTTGAAAGACAAAATTGGAGAGAAAAAAAAAACCTTTTATCTCTCTATCTGTCACAGGCACACTTTCCATCACGCCGATTCCACCCGCATGAGCATCGATTAAGGATGTCCCGACAGGTGTCCCAGCCACCAGACCTAATTCCTGAATATAGATTGGTTAATTAAATTAAATATTGGTTAGTTAAATAACCATCCATATTAGAGAATTTTTTATACCAGAAAGGAAAAGGAAAAGAAATGAGCTGATGGTTTTAGATTTGACTTGAAGTGAATGTTATTACAGCCTATGCTACCTGGACTCGGATATGGGTGGCGTATCGGGTGCGGAGATATGAGCGTCCGACTCGTCAATAGTTTAGAAATCTTGAACAGTTTAGGCTAAAATGCCACACCCGACACTCATACCCACATCAGTGTCGACACAACATGACACGGGTATTTTTCCTAAGTAAAAGAGTCCGGGTAACATAGATTACAACATTAATAGATAGGAGGGTGTGGTTGGATATAAATTCACTCCAAAAAAACAAATCAAAACTCAAATTTAACTCAACTTTAACCCAACTCCACTATTATCAGTATTATCATTATAATTAAATAATATCAACCAATCATTCATACACATCACATCAACTGTAATTCATTATTCATCCACTCATATAATTTTAACTAACCATCACTTCGCATCATCTCTCCTACTCTTACATCAAATCAACTTTAATTATTTTATTTTAAATATTATTTTAATTCAAACTTAAATTCCCGCTAACAAGTAACAACTAACCATACCACAATTTTCAAAATTAACTATGGTTAACAAAAAAACCAATCAAATCCATATCCAATTACAAATGCAATTTCAACTACGATACGTGCCTTTGCAGCATCAGGTGTCAGACCAGAACCCAAAGCGTACCCAGGAAAAGCTACACTTCGTCCTGTGAACAGTTATTTTATTTTTTGACAAATTAAGAAGAAAATTCATACAATATAAAAGCAAGAAACATCTCAGAACTCAGTCAAGGAGGAAATTTCACATACATAAGTATCTAGATTACCACCTTCCAACTGTTTTACTTAATCTATATAAAGAAAATGAAAGATGTCGGCAAGTTTATCTGAAGAATGAGTTAAATTTCACTCAGAATACAACGTGACTTAAAAATCTGCATTCTATCATTTTCTGCATTCTATCATTTTTTTTATGTGATGGGGATTCTGTAGCTGCATTATTTAACTAAAACCAGAAAATTAAACACAATTTATCAAAACCGTAGCCATATTGCAATTGCTACTAACAGACTTCGCAAGACTACACAAAAAGTACCACCTAAAAAATCCAAGAAAAGCCACATGGTATGAACAACTTTCGAAAATTACCGGTAAATGGTAAAAATGATAGATCCATACCAATCTTGGAATGATGACTATCCACAAGATCACCTAAACCGATCTCCTCCCAGAACTGATCATCCCACCCGAGAGCTTCCATGTCACGAGAACCTGTCTCGTTCACCTGGTGCATGTGCGCATGACCTAAATAAGTCCACTTGCAGACTGTTGTGCACAGACTCCGAGTATCATCTCCCGTTGCTCTAAGAGGATAGGTCAATTATGAGGCGTATGTATTATCTTGAGAGCTAGTTGAAAAACGAGATATTAACTTATGAAAAATTACCTATATGATAACCAGTCACTGAGATCCATCCACCTAAATGCCATCGACCAGGACTCTTGTAAATTCTCTTTGACCCACAGAAGCTACAAAGTGCAGTTTAAAATCAAAATGAAGGGGCAATCAGATATTTGTTTATATTAACTTAACATGAAATCACATTAGCAAGATAAATCATTGAAAAAAAAATGACATGATCATTTGGTGAGATCCCTTTACAGAAGAAACTATATCAGCTGGATATTCATATTTTCGAATTACAACATGACTTTCTGCAGTTCTGCATAAGAGATTTAGACCACCTTGGAATAAAAAACTTTGTCCTCACTTGTCTTTCGTGGCTTTGCGAGTTTACTAATTATCTTGAATTTTAATAGTTTCTGTTATTTACTACTCTTGAATCAACTCTGTGCATTTTGTTTAATCAAAATACATCTCCCAGCCTTCCATTTTTTGCAGGGAAAGCCGGAGTATCATAAATTATTAAGACTACATACATGATAACTAAGAGAGATGGATTAAGAATATGCCATGCAACATAACATTTATGCACGAATCCTGTTATTTGCTTCTTTTTGCATTTATCGTAAAATCATGTACACCATTTTAGGCGGGACGCAAATTGAAAAGCAAAAACAAGGAACTTTCACGAAGTTCTATATAAATTCTGAACATACTGATTCAACTTGGTTCATGATGCTTAAAAGTTAAAGCAACTCAGTTGCCAGAAAATAAAACACTCTCTGATTACACCAAGCTAATTATCTGGTGATGATGAGCAGCTAAACTACATGATAAGGGCTTGTGATGCATCAAATATCAATTCTCGGTCAATTAATATCCACCAAGAAAACATCCATGAACAGATATGTAAATATCCATCTACCTGTAAATTCTTTATGGAGAAAATAAATCGACATGAGAAAATAGTCAAAACTGACACATGTACAATCCACAAGAATACCTTGGGTGGCTCCATCTCAGGGGACACGGCCCCACCACAATATTCCAACACTGGCGACTTGGAAGAATTAATTCTCTCCGCTTGTTCTACAGCTCTGTGGTCCATCCACACTATAATATTTCTCCTCGTGTCGCCACTCCATGATACTGTCACGGGCTCTCCATCATAATCTACCGCAACTGCACAAAAAAGACCAAAATTCCCCTGGTAATTAATTAAGCTAAGCTACAATTGTTAAATTATTGTTCATTACCCAGAGAACATGTCGCTGCAAAACCCAAACTTGTAACTTCACTTCCAGAAACATTTGCAAGAGCACACGCTGCTTTGACAGCTGTGCAAATAGCAAGCCATATATCGGTGGAAGATTGCTGGATATGAAGTACAATAAAAATAATGAATAAGTACGCTCGTTATTAGTAACAACACCAATTTAGGCCTATACACTGGAATCGAAAAAGTTCCCCAAAATTCATAACATTGTATAATCACCTCAACACAGTCGCCTTCTTTCCAAATCTGTATAGGACTACTAGAACAGCCTAAAAGTCGCCCATTATTGTCGAATAAACCTGCATTAAACAGCAGTAGTACACGAAAACACATTAAGCATTTTTGGATGCCTTTATTGCAAATATTTCGTATGCACCTCAACACAGTGTCTTGAGCTACAGTAAGTTAATCAATCTAATAAAGTACACAACAAGATTTCCAAATTTTGTTAAGGTCCCACCATTTATAATCAGAAATTAAATTAGCCCGTTTACAAACAACTGTACCCAGAATAGCCACTCATTAAGCCGTACTAGGAAGATAACATCAATGCACTAACAAATATTACTACCCAATTCATCAAAGCCATAAAAGAACCTTTCCTTACAGAAACCCAACAAAATCTACAAAAAATAATTAACATATACTCATAAAAGGAAAGGAACTATTGAGACTTGAGAGCCATAAGTTCTAAATTAATTATATCAGAATCCAGATTCTCATAATAATCTCGATAACGGGTGAAAGGGGGACCTGCACGAGCGCTTCCGGTGCCGACGTCCACGCCGAGGAAAACAGAGCGGCCGGAAGGCGGCGGAGGTGCGGCGGAGGTCATCTCGACTGCGGTGGAGCGGTGGCGTTGGGTATGATGGTCATGGAAAGCTGGTTTATATATCCTTTGATGTGCGCCAGACATATTTTTATTTTTATTATTATAAAAATAACAATTTATTGTCTTTTCTGCTGGGATTTTCTATCCCATTTTCTCACCTTTTTTTTCGGATTTTTTCTCTTTTTTTTGTTCTTTTTTCCTTTTTCAGATGGATTAATGCAGATCTAAAACTGAAGCTTTGAAGCAAAAAACATGTCTTTTTTAAAAATTTCTGGCAGACTGAACTTGGAACCTTGAACTGCTACCTAAAGACTCATGTCACTCATCTTTGTAAAATATAAGCTGAAAAAATATGGCTAATAAATTAGGGAGATACTACATCCCGTTCCATCGGATTTTGTAACCGTTAAATCAATTATCTTGACGATTACATGATAATCTAATAATTACAAATCTCAACGGAATCTATAATTGTATAAAAAGTTATCATATTTACTAAAATTAGTAGCAAAAAAATAGGTCAGCATTTAATACAACCCATAAATAGTAGTTTTATTATTTTTCTTATTTTTTTTATTTAAAAATCATACAATTCAATTTATAAATACGCTTTAATATAATCATATAATTCAATCATACAATTAATTTATAAAAATTATACAATTTATTTTTTTCTTTAAAAATATGCTTTAATATAGATATATATATATAGTACTCTTTGTAATAAATTTGAATAAAATGTGTTACTTAAATATCTAAACAATTTAAAAATTCAAATGTTTAAATTAATTGATAAACAATTTATAAATCTCTATTTTATTTAGTTTTATTTAAAATAATTTTAAATATAGCAAAATATATTTAGAAAATCGTATCGATCATATCAGTTCAACCGACTGGTGTTGACGGATTCAATAACAAATATTTTATTCAAGTGAACTAGATTGATTATAAACTGGTTCTCGGTCCATCCGGTCGGACTGTGTCCAACACGGTTTAATTTTAAAACGATGGGTAAATCTTGATTAATTTATTTGTATATTTAATTTGTAACACAATTGTAATATTGTTTTCCCGTACATCGCACGGGCCACGCACTAGTGGTTCCATAACGGACCGTAGCGTTTTTCCAATAAATTAATGAGAACTCATAATTAGAAGTTAGTGATAACTCATGAAATAATTCAGAAAAGGGGATTTTTTTTTTTATTTTTTATCCAACAAATATTAATTTTATTTAGCTAACTCATTAATTTATTAGCTACCACAGCAATAATTTTTTTAGCTAAAAAATGTAGGCCCCGTTTGGAAGATAGCGGATTGAGGATAAATTAGCGGATTGGACTTAAGTGAGAGGTTTGACCCGTCAAATCCGCTATTGAGCTTGTTTGGTAAATAGCTTATTCGATAAGCGCTTTAGGCCCAAAACTCTAATTTAGAAAAAGCTCATTAGAGGAGCTTTTTGGGGATAGAGGATTCACAATCTACAATTTTAATTTAAAACTTTTTAATTTGTATTATTTATTTTACAATCTACATTCGTTTATGATGCTAACAAATAATAATATGTCATCCATATGATTAATTTATCTAGAAAAATATAAAATTATAACTTCTTAATCAAGTGTTAGTAAATTTTTTTAAAAAAATATATTTATAAATTACCAACTAAAAAATAATAAATGTTTTAATATATTATTATTAAAAAAAAGAATAATAAAATGTCCTTATTGGTAATTTGCAATGTCAAACAACTATAAGCTTTCAGCTATTTACCAAACACTTATTTAAAAACCGCTAATGTAATCCGCTAGTCAAATCAGCTAATATAATCCGCTATCCGCTATCCGCTAATACAATCCGCTATCCGCAATCTGCTATCCGCTGATCGCCAAACAAGGCCGTAGACAATAAACTCGAGTTTTTGTGAAACGAGCATGATAAGTCGGCGTATCTAATCATTAAGTCGATTCACATTCTCAAAATATAAATTTAATATTATTTTTACGTGCATCGCAATAATATATACGAGTTTTAAAGTATTTTAAGAATTTCATTAATTACGCTATCATTATGTATAAAATATTTTTATTATTTAAGAGGATATACATATATATAAAAAGAATATTAAAAATAAGTTATTCTAAACTATTATTGAAAAAATATAAACTATTAAATTTCCATACTAAAAATAATAAATAAAATCAAATAATATATTGTACTAATCAAAATCAGTTAATATAATCATCTTAATTCAAACAAGACGATTTTTTTTTTCCCACTAAAATAAATCATCACAATAGAATATACTAGTAGGTAACCCGTGCGATGCACGGACTGTATTTATTTTGGAGAATATTATAATTTGAAGTGTATTAAAAAATAAAATAGTGATATTACGTAGGTAAATTGTGAAATCATTAAATATTCATCATAAAAAAAATTATTAAGAACCTTATTGTACAATATTAT